TCAGCAATAGATGTGTAGTAGTCTGGTAGTACCGGTTGAAATGACATAGCATAATATAAAATGTCAATTTCTTTAACTCTTCATCATGGAGTGAAATATTTCTCTTGTTTACCATTGAAGTTTTGAGTATTGGTTCTATCATCATGGACAATCTTTTCCATAACTTTTGAAGTGGCAGTTGCTGTTAATGCCATTAATGATATACCAGGAAAATGAGACTTTAGATGCAAAAGCAGTCTATATTCAGTTCTAATAAAACAATAAGTTAATATTAGAAACTTCAACTTTTTGTAGCCATATAATTATTGTATGGATGATTTTTGGACAGAAAGTTTTTGGCAGCTTTTTTGCAAGAAGCACTTTCAAGATCTTATAGAAGCATTTTTGTGCCCATATAGTATATGGTAATTACTAGTGTGTATATTTAAGTGTGTGTGAGTGTGTAGTAATGCTTGTTATATCATGGCCTCTAATTGAAATTTTGCTAATCCTTATTTGGTGATATGGGCCTACGCAAAATTAATTCCACATGAAATAAACCAGCTATAGGGTAATAGCTAATGAGTTGACTGTGTAGCATACCTGAATGATTTGCAACAATTTATGAGATGAGCTTCATCCACTGCAATGAGACATATTTCTTTGTTTCTGGCCATTGATAGAAAAATTTGTCATGGTTGCTGTTGCTTGTCATAGAAAGATTCTAAACAAGAGTGTATTTTTACAGGTTATTTAATATGTTGTGCTTTTGAGCAGAACCGAGGAACGTAGCAGAAACACCATGCTACATACTTGATCACACATGAGACATATTGTCAATGAAATAACAATGGCCAACTTTCCAGTAAGTAATGGTGGAATAACATAGCACATTAATTTTCCTGTGCCAGTTGGTTGAACTATAAGCTGTCTTTCCCTTTGATAGCGTTTTTAATTGCATTCATCTGCCATTTATGAATACTTGAGAGCATTAAATGTTTTGCTACTAGGCTTTGAATAACTAAATGATTGTGATCAAAACTTGGGTTGAGTTCTAAACAAAAGTTTCATTTTAAAAATCACAAAATTCAATAATTATAAATACCTTCAAAGCAGCTATCTATGGCTTTATTGTTAAAAGGTTTTATATTGTGGCCACTTCTGTTAACATTTTTATGTCTCAATGATGAACACTTCACACAATTTGGCAGTTTACGGTCTTAACAATTGTCACTGCAGTTGTCAAATTCTTCCTAGCATTTATTAAGGATGTATCTTGAATAGAAAAAGATGGTAAAGTATCAACATCTCCAATAGTTGTAGAATCATTCTCCTGTAGCAAAGACATATCTCCATGTTCCTTTTCTACCCACAAAACTATCCCTTCCTTTGACTATTGTAATGTCACTTCACACCATTTCATTATCTGTTTAGCACTTTTTTAAGACATGAGTGCCTTTTGTTTTAGTACAAATAATATACAATGCATGACATATATTAAAGTCTTTAAATTAACAAAAAGTAAAATTTAAAATCAGTTACTTATTTTTCAATGATAGTGATACTATAATTATGTTAGTACACATGTAGACCATAAAAAACGGAGTTATTTAGGTTCTTCACAAATTGAATGATAAATAATCTCAGTAATTTCAAAAGCATCATCATTCCATTAAAATTATCTTCAACACACACATCTCCCTCTATCAAATCAAACTTATCTTTATAGATATGGCCTTGGCAAATGTATAATTATGTGAATATCATGTATTTTGTTTTAGAAATAAATTCCCCAAATTAAATAGGGGTAAAATAGTGCAGCTGTCACTAATTCTTACCTGTAATATTGTAGGGACAAAAAAGTGCAGCAAGCACTGATTTTTCCCTAAAGTACTATAAGGACAAATTAGTGCCTGCTGCACTATTTTGCCCCCATATACTTTAATTGTGACAAAAAATTGCACAACGCACTAATTCTATATTGGAGGACAAAATAGTGCAGAATGCACTGATTCTTCCCTATAGTATTGTAGGGACAAAATAGTGCAGCAGGCAGCCAGGCACTAATTCTTCCTTATAGTATTTTGGGGACAAAATAGTGCTTGGCACTAATTTCTGCCTATATAGATAGGTCAAATTGCATAATGTGTATAATGTGCCTAGTCACACCATTATGTAGGAAAGAAATAGCACTATTTTTTACCCTCTGTAATCATGGATTTCTTTTATTTAATGATATCTTATATAAGCACCCTGTTTGTTATG